TCTGCTGCTTAGCTCGTCTCTGCTGATCATACACTGTGCTGACTGGGCGCCCGTCGCTGCTGTGGTGAACCCCCCTTTGCACAGACGGTGCCCCCTCTTCCCCTTTCCGTTTGTGCTGACAGCCCAACCAGCGTTCCCATTGATGGAAGGAGCGTCTGCAGCTGTCCCATCCTTCAGGGACATGGCGGCTGAAAGAGCAGGCCTTTCCCTCCGATTTTATTTTATTTATTTTTTTGCTCTGCGGTCAACTGTTAGCGCCCCAAATGGGGGAGGGTTATGGATTTTGTTTGTTTAAAATGCTTCCCCTGCTGAAGTCCCGAGGCAGCCTTCAACATAGAGATGTTTTTCTTTAGGAGCCTTTAAAAAACAATCTGGACACAGCCTTTGGGGAGGGAATTTGGCTATTTTATTTGTGAAAACAAACAACAGGTGCCTTCCTGGGTGCCAGGGCCAGTCATCTCTTTTTGGTATCAAGTATCTCTCCGTGCAGGGTTACACGTGAGGATAAGCCCCTATAAAGTGGGCCCCAAGGGTTGTGTCTGTGTAAAAACCACCAGCAAACCACGTTAGAAACCACCCTGAAAATTTTGTTGCAGGGCCCTTTGCACCAGACCTGCAAGCACTTTGTGTCAAATCTTTACCACTTGCCACATGAGTCCCAAATCATGACGGACGCCAAGTATGTCCTCTGCAGATGGAAAGAGCGATTATGGCCTGCAAAGGTGACAGCATTATTTTCTAATTTCAGGGATAGGAATGACTTTTGGGTGACAAGCAAAATATTTATCAAGAGAGATTTAGGAGTCGCTTCAGTGGAGTAATTGAGCCCGAACAGTTGGCTGCTGTTTCTGTTGGCACCAAATCTCATTCCCCATTTAATGGGGTTTTGGTGGAGTGCTTACAAGGTTAAACTGCTGGAAATGTGTGGTGTTTTTTTGTGTTTTTTTTTTCACACTGAAAAAAAATTAACAGCTCTTAAAGGCATGTATGGCAGTAACTCAAGGAGATTTCTGGCAGGGAGTCCTGTGGTAGTAAATAATGGGAGGATCTGGGGAGACCTTCCAGCCCAGCCGTAGGAAGAGAGGCAAACCTGAAGGTAGAAACCCATCCTTGTCAGGGTCTGCCACGGACCTCTTGTGCCTGTTTTCCCACCTGCAAAATAAGGAATGTTAGACAGAGTATCTTTGAAGTTCTATGCTTTTATACTTTAAGAATTAATTATCTGCTACAACATAAACTGATGAACAAAAATAGGTCCAGAGACAAAGAAACACTGAACAGACCGTCTAACCTCAGAGAGAAGGCAGGGGAGGGGGCAGGGGGTAAGAGATCAACCAAAGGACTTGTATGCATGCATATTAGCATAACTAATGGATAACGGACACTGGGGCGGTGGGGGTCAATCGGAAAAAGGACACATACGTAATACTTTAATCAATAAAAAAAATCCATAATAGAAACAAAAAAATGGATATGTAACACTGTTAGAAGTGCATACATGTTATGGAAAAAGAAAAATAGAACAAGTAAGGGGATTGTGGTGATTGTTTTAGTAAATGGGAGAGTGGGGGAAAGTGGGGTTATCAAGGGAGAGATTCGAACAAAAACTTAAAAGAAGTGGAGTTAGCCAAGCCAATAAGTGGGAAAGAGATTTCCAGCAGAAGAAGCAGCTATTAAGATCCTAGTGCAGGAATGGGTCTATTATGTTAATAAAACAGGAAGGAATCAGTATGGTTGGGGTGTGTGAGCAAAGGAAAGTATAGTAAAAAGTTAATGTGCAAAAAAAAATTA